CCCGTGGGCAGGGGCTGTGCCTTGCAGGCCCCTTTCCCCAGCACATTCTTTCTGTTTCAGTTGTGACAAGCTCCCACTTGACTCCCAGCTGACAACACTCCCACTTGTGCAAGGCAGCGCCTTCTGGCAGGTTCCCTTTTAGCAGAGACCCAGCCCTCACTAAAGGCTTGCAATAAAACCATTTAAGTTGCAGTTTCCGCTTCCATTAGATTTCAAAGGTGCAGTTGCTGTGGAAAGGGGCAGGACGCCCAGAGCTCCTCTCGGATCCCTCCGACCACAGCTGGACCCCACACAACTCAAGTACAGGAAACGCCACTCTTGCAAACCAGCCGCTTCCACGGCTCCCTGTGACCAGTGACTCAATCCCCACAGCTCTAAATTAGTTTCCCCCTTTTTTCCAGCTCTAGCAGATATAGGAGTGTACAGAGGGGACCCTCCTATAGGGCAGCCTTTTCCACTGCCCCTCTATATCTTGGTCAATAACTGACCAGGTGAACTTTGTGCCAGGGGTTAGGTTTTTGCTCACGTGTGTGGGTGAAGCTGCCGTTCTTAGCACGCAGAGGAGAGGAATTCTCTAGAGAGGTACCTGTCACTACCACGCCGTATACTCGGACAAGTCCTGTGAGCCTTTGATTAGCAGCAGCAAACTAAGGTGTTAAGATCTTTGTGTCAGGCTGCAGCAGCAAGTACAACTGACTCGGCTTCTCCAAGCTGGAAGTGACTCAGAATCATTACGTTGGGTGAGGTTTAACCTGTAGTCAAAATAAAACCAAATTTAAAAGAAACCCACGAGTACTGATGTGAAAGGTACAGTAACATTTAATAGCATCTCGGAAGACAACACTGGTTATAAACTTGCTTTTTTGGCAGGAAAACAAAATGCACTTGGTCCGGGTTGCAAAAAAGCCAACTCAAAGAGGAAAGATAAGACAGCTGGAGCATCAGCTGTTCTGGAGCAGCCCTGAGCCATTAACGCTCACGAGGGAGCCCCGGCACCGCATCGCGGCGGAGGGCAGACGGAGCAGCACGGGTCCCACTTCTAAGCCCATCCATCCCCCCAGGCAGCCGGCCAAGTGACACCGGCCTTCGCCCCCAGCCCCGGGCTTCTCTGCGGTGGGTGGTCAGACCCCAGCTCTGTGCAGTATTTTTGCATTAAGACAAACAAAAAACCCCTCAACTTAGTTGCCACAATCTCTTGCAGTTGAGATGAAGAAAAAAAGAGAAAAAAAAAAAGGAAGTGAGGCAGCAGGATTTACAATTTTAACAGCAGCTGGGGGAAGTGGGAAGTAACATCCAACCCTAAGCCCTTCCCTCCTGAAGCAGAAGCTCTCCCTGCAGAGGAGAGGGCTGACGGACGGCTGCACTTCCCACAGCCCCGGAGACTTTGCTGTTTACAGAGGCACTGGAAGCTGCGGTGTGAGCCAGGCCCAGCTTTGTTCAAAGGCCATGCGCAGCGAGCGTCAGACTTTCTTTGGATCCCTCTGAGATGATATCAGGGTTAGGCAGGAGGAAGTTGTAGGCAGCGGCAAGGAGTAGTTTTGGTCGTGGGTTTCCCTGTGCTGGGATGCAGGTCGTGGTGCCAGGACAGCGCTGACAACCTGGAAGTGAAGGTGGTCGGAAGATGAGGGTGCTCAGGAATGCAGGTAGAGTCCAGGATGGGAGGGGAGCCCGGGGCTCAGGCCAACTTCAGGAACTCCTGCAGGGTGTTTTGTTCCACTGCTTCCACAAAGAGCTCGTAATCCTGCAGGGAAAAGCCACACGGCTGCTCAGAAGGCAAGAGCAAGCTGTATGCTCCTGCCGGTCAGGTGGCACAGGGTCCCCTGAGCACGCAGCACAAACTGGTTCACAGCACGGGTGCCAGTCAGTGGTGCAGAGGACGACAGGGCGAAGTGGGGACAGCCCCGCTGCCCACCCTCACCCACAGTCGCCCTGCCTGGGTCCCATTTTTCACAAGCCACCCTCCTCCAAACGGCCGTTAACCCCCTTGTCCGTGCACCTCATGAGAAATGTCTTTTGAAAGGCGCCTTGACACCATTTGTAGCAAAACCAAGGAGACGGGATTCACGCCCACCACCCAACCACCACGGTGCTTATCCCCGCGCCGAGCAGGGGCCTTACCCCGCAGTAGTGGTCTCCGTTGACAATCTGGGGTGGGATGGCTTTGGGGTTGCCTGCCTTCGCCCTCATCTCCTCCCGGAGAGCGTTGTCCTGGGAGATATCCACCAGCTCGTACTTGATGTTTTTCCCATCAAGGATTCTGGTTACTTCGCTCTGTTGGGATTTGATCTGGAACCCGGGTGGGAAAGGCGGGTTATGGGGAGCTGGAGAGGAGCCCGAAGGGCGGG